TTCTAAACTAACACGAGTCTCATTAAGTGTCCAGTTTAAGGGTATTACACAGAAACATACCAAGGGAACATGAATCAAATATGTACTTTTATTCATTTACAATAAACTCATAATGTACATCATTTTGATTGAAGCTAAGGGCATACAAAACTGTCCAACACTGATGACATATCCACTCCTATTACTGATGACATACCCTCTTCCACTACTGTGCCTTAACCATCCTCAGATGACCTTACCCTTCTGATTGTAGTACGTAAGGGGAAACATTGGAAGAGACAGGAAATTTGGGAAAGATTCTAACTTGCTTTGGAAAGATTTGGCTTTGTCCAATCCAAATCTAACCACACTCTGTTCTTTAAGAAGAAAGAATCTACTTTGACTCTTCTAGCTGTGTATGTGGATGACATTATGGTGGCAGGAAGTGATTTGATGAGATTAACTCTCTTAAGCAACTGCTTAATCAAGAATTTGAAGTAAAGGACCTGGGTGAGTTGAGGTATTTCCTTGGGATTGAAGTGGCAAGGTCCAAGCATGGCATTTTTGTTTCTTAGAGGAAGTATGTTCTTGATCTCTTGGAAGAGACAGGAAATTTGGGAGCTAAGCCTACTGATACTCCCATTGAGCAAAACCATAAGATTAATGCAGAGGATGGTGAGCCTCTAGAAGATAAAGGTATGTATCAACGGCTAGTAAGAAGACTTCTCTACCTATGTCTGACTCGCCCCGACATTTCTTATGCTTTCAGTGTTGTTAGTCAGTACGTGCACTCTCCCAAGACCTCACACCACCTTGTTGTTGAGAGAATTCTAGCCTACTTGAAGAGGTGTCCAAGCTGAGGTATACTTTTTAAAAATAAGGGCTATATGAAGATTGGAGTATACACTGATGTAGATTGGGCAGGTTGTATTGATGATAGGAGATCTACTTCAGGGTATTGTGCCTTTGTTGGAGGAAATTTAGTTTCATGGAGGAGCAAAAAACAAAATGTTGTTGCTCGATCCAGTGCTGAAGCTGAATACAGGTTTATGGCTAATGGTATTGCTGAAATATTATTGCTGAAGTCTCTCCTTACAAAACTAGGAATTGAGTTTGAAAGACCCTTGATGCGGTATTGTGAAAATCAGGCGGCCATTAACATTGCTCACAACCCAATACAGCATGATAGAACCAAACACATTGAAGTTGATAGACATTTCATCCGAGAGAAAGTTGCCTCTCAAGAAAGTATGCCTTCCTTATGTTGCCACTAATATGCAGCTTGCTGATGTCTTCGCCAAGGCAGTCAACAAAATCAACCTTGAGTCAAATTTAAGCAAGTTGGGAATGATCAATATATTTTCCCAACTTTAGGGGGAGTGTAGAGAAAATGGTTAACAAGCTTGTGGTCCCCACTTGTTCATATGTTTTTTCCTTTGTTTATAGTGCTGTTAGAATACTATTAGAACTTTTTTCTGTTGTTTCTAGTGACAGGGGCATTCCTGTCATTGTACCACTTATTGTTGTAGACCTAATTTTAAATATCATTTGGGGCGGTAGACTAAGCTAGTCGAACCCCTCTTTCTCTTCTATTCTCTCTTCCTCTTCTTCTCTTCTCTTCTCTTCTCTTCATCTCTGGTTTTCTTTTGTTTACTAAACAAGTCTGAACCTTCTTGGTTTCAGACAACCATCTGAATGCCTTGTAGGGCTGCATATAGTTATGCCTTGAACGGTTGAACTTTATTGATTAATGAAAAAGAATGCTATATACAGAGAATCTGCTGGACAGAAATAATCTATCCAAAACCCAATGTACAACACAATGGAATATTCCCCTAATATAATTGCACCCTATTCACACCTAATTTTGCCATTGAGTTGGCCAAGTTGTTCGCTGTTCTTCGTACCCATCCCTCAACCAACCTACTACCACTTTGGAATCTCCTTCCACCAACAGATTTCTGAAATTGAGTGTTTCTTTCAGCCTCAAACCCAGTAATACAGCCAGCACCTCTGCTCTGGTGAAATTTCCACTTCTTGTAGGCTCCGAATAGATTGCAACCTTCCCATTTCTGTTCCTAAAGAACCCATCAAAACCAGAATTGCCCGGGTTTCCAATGCAACATTCATCAAGTTTATCATGACATGGCTATTGATGGCAGTTGCCATTCCAGTGTATATGCTGACCAGTAGTAGAAGAATTAGCAACCTGCTGCCATTTTCTCAGGATATCATCCATGGAGAAAGGTCTAAACACATCCACAGTCTTTATCCAATGCACCACCTTAACGAATCTGCTGGTCTAAACACATCCTCACAAATTTCTTTTGCTTCACAAAATCCATTCCTTGAACTTTTATCAATTTCTGCTGTATTATATTATGCATCCCCCATTGTACCACAAAAACACCAACTCATCAATGAAACCCTTGAGCCAAGTAACTCCACTTGGTAGCAGTATTTTCTCCTTCCTGTCTCTCCCAATCTTTCAAGGATAGTTTCCCTTGTCCAGCTGCTTCCTCAATGCAGGGTGCTTTATGATGCCCTTTATTTTGCTAAGGCCCTTGGAATATTCAAATTAAAAGTGGAAAGTGATTCGAAGGTGTTGATTGACGTCCTTCAGGGGAGAGCTAACGCTCCTTGGGGTATTCAGTAGCAGATGCTTTGGCAAATTATGCCTGTGAATCTCTTGTTGATCGCTATTTTGATAGCAGGGATGCTCTTCCACGTTCAGTCCATATCTGTCTTGTTGATGATCTTCTGTTTATTCCTAGGCTTAGAATTGGCTAATTAGTTTCCTGTAATTTTGGGAATGAGTGAATATTTTGCAAAATTGATGTATTCGGGTTTGGGGCAAGGCAGGCTATGTCCTCCCCTGTATCTCATTCTTATAATGATTTTTCTTAATAAAATTTTAAGGTGGCCGCACCTCCACCTGGAGTAAAGTTTGGGGATTGAAAAAAATAAAAAACTCGTCCATATTGTTACTATAATAGTTTGCAATTTGTGTGAAACTTCAGCTCTGGAGAAGGATTATAATACCTATAACAAGTACCAGAATTTTACATGACCTTATGGAGATTCAGGGATATTGCACCAAATACTGGAACTATAATGTTTTTCATTTTAATTTTATATAATTGGCAATTAAAATGTAATCAAGCCAATCGGAATAATCTTTTAAGACTCCTAAAATGACTAAGAAAATATCATATCCAAACCTTTTTCTAGAATATGATAAAATGAAAACATAAAGCTCAGATAATGAATGAATAAATCCTAAACTTTATAATCCCATTCAGGCATGGGATTATAACTTAACAAAAAATAGAATTCCCCTAATACCCCTACTAACTTGATAAGAAAACAGAAACAAATAAATATGGCCCAACTGGCCCAACTACCATAACTGTCATGAAGTAACATAAAGAAATAAACAGAAAAATAAAGTGTGGGTCCACACAAACTAACAGCCTTTCAACTATCTCTACAACATTCTAGCAGGGATAACATTCAAGGGTTTTCAAAGCCCAGTTGCAAAGGCCAAGATTAATATGATGTTACCAGATTACCTCCATAAGTCGAGGACTGAAAAATGCTGCTCTCATTTCTTGATCCAAACTTTGTTCAGCAAACTTGATGATTGACCTGCATCAATAAAAAGCAGTTGCTAAGCAAGCAATGAACTGTGACAAGGCAAGCTTTGGCAAGCAACGAAAAATGCTAATCTCATGTTCTTGTATTAAATACTAAGTGGCAAGGCAACATGATCAAGTATTTCCTTTTGATAAGCAAACAATGAACTGTGAAACCAGAAAAAACTTTGGTATAATCAGATATTTTCAGTCTAAGACAGCTAATAGGTGTACACAAGGCTAAAGTTCTTAGATCTGGACTGTATAGCGCATTCAGAAGGATTAGCAGATATGCAAAATCTCTAGCAGACAGTACAGCAGGAGTGGAAGGTGTGGGTTGTATTGAGGAAAATCAGTCTTGGGATAGTGCTACTTGATGCAGGTTTGATGAATTTCTTTATATTTGATCTTTCTGTTGAGTGGCTTCTTTGTAAGGAGAGAGAGGGGGCACTTTATGAGGTGTGTCAACTCAGTGGGACAAAACCTGCTGGTGAGGGGATTTGACCCTTATTCTCTTCCCAATGGAGGCAGCACCCATACCAACTTTATTTAGAATCATCTTGGGACTTGACTTTTCCTTTCTAGGTAAACTATGATTGTGTACACCTTTTCTAGGTAAGAAAATAACATACAATTGTCAAGAAAGTTGTGCAAGCAGTAAACCTCCTAAGCTGCATGCTCAGCCCATCAAAATATGCTAGCATGAAAGGCCAAGAGAAGATTCAATGTTTCATCATTCCAATGACTGGATTAGCCTTGCATCCATTTCTTTCATATATCCTTTATTCCTTGCTCTTTGTAGATCCCACCAAATAGCAGGAATCAGATTCTACAGCATCTGACATCATTCACTAAACAGCTTAAGAAAATCATTTCTGTACTTTTCCTGAGCCTGAAGATTTGAGATGGAGAAGATGCAAAACTGATTTTGGAAGGTCATCATAAAGCACATAAAATTTTCCAAACTTCCATTTTGAGTTAGGATGCTCAATAGATAAAAGTGTTTCTTAAAGAGACTATAAAATCTGCATTCAGATTCATATACTGAAGTCCAAGACTTTACAAAACTGGTCCATAAAAGAGGCTATAGTTAGTCATGTGCCAACTCTGGAAGGGTCATCATCCAGTCCAATGGTAGGAATCTGATATCAGCACAGAAATGTATCTGATTTTAAGTCTTTCTTTCAAAGATGTGTCTGATAAAGAATAGAAGGCTTTCCACGAAGTTACTTTATCATTCACCATACGATAAAGAAGAGGAAAGGTCTCACATTAAAGATTGACCTCCACACCACTTGTCTTCCCAAAGGTGGACTTGGTATCCACAACCCATTCGAAAGTTTTGCACACCACACACTAGAAAAATAAGGCTCCAAATCAATCTTAAACATGCCCAAGGTTTCCATATTTGCTAGGTATTACCATTACATGCAAGACATGTAAGCCTTGAAGCATGCAAAAAGAGGAGTATATGTTTTTGGCATCAGCTACATGAATCTTTTGCTGACATACATACATATACATACATACATACATGCATAGGTGGCAGCAAACTCCATGATACAATCATTAATTGGCAGCAAAAGGAAATTCCAAATAGCTGGTGAGCGAACTCCATGCTACAAAACAAAGCCTGTGCTAGTTTACAAATTCCTCACAAAGAGGCGCGAGATGTCACCTCTAAACTATACCATAAAGCTTACAAATTATTCCAAAAAAACTGATTCCTATGTACCCATTGTTTGGCTAAAGATTCTGCCAACCCATTTGCCGATCTTCTTTCCCATTGAATTTGGCCTGACATATTTGATGTTAACCATCTGAACTTTCTCAAAGCCCCACTGTAGGACGATGCTGCCACTTCCGGCTCTTTTAACCACCCAACAATCAGTTTCGAGTCGCCTTCAATGATTAAGTGTTCCAATGCCATCTCCTTAGCAATCTCTGCTCCTTTTAGAATTGCTCGAACTTCTGCATTGACTAAATCTCCCACACCTATAGGACCAGAATATAAAGCTAAGATCTGGCCCTCAGCATTTCTGAACACTCCCCCAATTCCAAACAGCCCTGGATTACCTAGGCTGCTGCCATCGAAATTTAATTTAATAACCCCTTCTTCAGGAGGTTTCCACTCCACCATAGGCTTGATTCTAACAGCATAACTTCTGGCAATTTGCTCCCAAAAAAATATATGCGACATTATCCACCCCAAAAAAATAAAAAGTAAAAACTGCTAGCTCTTTCTTATGTCAATTTAAAGACCTGAAAGTCTGAAACTTTCTCCCCACAAAGGTCCCTTGTCAGATGGAAATAATCTACTTTATAACTTTTGTCGACCATGAGTCTAAAATTTCTGATATTATCTTATAAACTCCACAGACCAGTCTAGCTAGTCACTCTGAAATCTTAAAATTCATCAGCCCCTTCCACCTGTGGTATAAGTGCAGTAAACATGGTCTTAGCCATCACAGAAATGACCTATGTCACATTTAGTTCCTCTATAACCTTAAGGCTTAAGCACCAATGAATTTCCAATATTTTCTGTACAAATAGTAGGGAACCATCTAACTGAGGCATTTTATTACTGCATAGACTGTCAAGAGGAAGGTGGTGGTAAAGTAACATGAGGACCTCTAACAGGGAGAATCATGGGATAGGAAGGCGGTGGTAGATGTGGGGAGAAAAGGAAAAATGAAGGAGAGAAATAGACATTCTTCGTGCATGTCTAGTAGGGAGAGTAGTAGCGAAAGAAATGCGCCAATGAGAGATTGAAAACTGAGCAAAGCTAGAGTGGGGAGCTGAGAAGTTAAATGGGGGTGAGAAAGATGAATGTGGAGCTGATGCTATTCATATTTCACAGCAGGGAATACACAGAATGGGTTCTGGAGTCAAAGAGAGTAAGGGAAAGAAGTATTGATCTGAGGTTAGGACGATGGTTCCCAGCGGTTGGTGAAATAAACAGAGGGAGAGCTTCGTATGCGGTATGGATCGTGGTAGTAGGAATCCCGTTGCATGTCTGGAGTGTTCCCACGTTTGAAGAAATTGCTTCATGCTGCAGCAAATTCATTAAGATTGACAACAAAAATCGCACATGGGAGAAGAAAGACATGGCAAGGATCTTGGTGGAAGTATTGGACAAATTTGAAATTCCAACGAACCTAGAACTGGAGTTTGCAGGCGAAGTATATGATTTGTGAATATTAATAGAAGGGTGTGATGGAACCTTCCATAGGGATGAATCTAGGGACATGAGGACAAAGGAGTTCAAGGATGATAGGAAAGAGCCCAAGGAAGGGAATGAAGAAAACAACTCAAGACTCAATTGGAGCTGGCAAAGGAAGGGATGAAGAAAAACAACTCAAGAGATCTCTCCCCCTCAGAAGGACAACTATAAAAAGGAACCGACTCTGCAAAGGTGACACCCATGGAAAAAAACCGGATGCCACTAATGGGATCAAAACAACAGTACCCTTTCCATGTGGAGGCATAACCAAGGAAGGTGCATTTCTGAGCCTTCGGGTCAAACTTGTGTCTTTCGAAACTGGGAATGTGGACATAACAAGTGCAACCAAAGACCCGTAGAGGAATAGAGAAAATCTCAACACTAAGAAAGAGGACTCCAAAAGGAGATTTTAACCCGAAGACTCGAGAAGGCATGCGATTAATAAGGTAGATGGCTGTTAAAACTACATCACCCCAAAACTTCACAGGAACATGGATAGCAAAAAGAATGCTCCTTGCAACTTCCACAGTGTGTCTGTTTTTCCCCTCTGCTACTCCATTTTGTTGTGGAGTGTAGGCACAAGAGCTCTGATGAACAACCCCAAACTTCTCAAGATAGGAGGTAAGGTCCTCAAAATATTCCTTAGCATTGTCTTATCGGAATATTTTGATGCGGGTATTAAACTGAGTATGTGTTCGTGGAACTATTGCACAAGTTTAGGCACTTCAGCACGAGAGCCCATAAGGTAAATCCAAGTATATCATGAAAATTCATCAATAAACAGATTTGAGAGCTTTAAAAATAAAAAAAAAAAAGATGTGAGAGCTTTTATTAAAAGGAATAGTCGATCCTTTATTAATTAAAGGATAAGTGTTCTTACAATGACTTGACAGCTCACAAGAACTACAATGAAGACTAGATACTAATTCCTTTAAATAACTCTAGAAACAACTGACTCAATGAAGGAAGAGACAAATGACCCAAATGACTATGACATAACATAATACAACTAGTGGACTTTAAAAAAAATGCAATTCTATTAGGTTGTACTTGGCTTTGCTCAAGCATGTCAAACAGATAGATCCCTTTCGCCTCATGGCCACTCCCAATCACCTTTAGAGATTCCATGTCCTGAAAAACACAATATGAAGGAAAGGTCACACTGCAATTAAGAGATCTAGTCAAATTACAAGCTGAAAGCAAATTTGTATTAAGTTTAGGTACACGAAGAACAGATGATAAGGTCAAGGCATTAGAGGTCTTAATGTCTCCCTTTCCCGTGATAGGGGCAAGAAAACCATCAGCAAGGGATATCGTTGAAAAGAGGGAGAAATCCATCGTATGGACACCAAGAAAAAAGCGGAATAGGTGGGCGAATTTCAAAAATTTTTCTCCCTTCAATCAACTGGGAATCGTATTCCCTTATTTTAGAATCAATTATTCAAGGACCTACTCGAACCAAACCAAACCAGATCTGAACCCAAGAACAAGGGAAAGGTTATACCTGATACAGAGAATCAAGATCTCCCAACGTCGGTGTTCACGCCCAAAGAAGTATCCAAGATCTGCTCCCGCTGAAGATGACACAGCGATGGTGGGGCAGAACCAACAGTGTACGTCCTACGTACTGAACACTTCGCAAGAATCCGTTGGAGGCTTAGAGCACCGAACCAAATCAGCCTTTCAGCAAAGACTGATCTCAAGAACTAGCTTCTTGACTTCCCTTTAGAGAAGTTCGAACCAAGTAGTAAGGTGGCGGCGGCTGGAGGAGTTCCTAAGGTTGAAAGTGG